GATATAAATGTCAATTAGCCATTAATTAGAATCTAATTGAATTAGTATCTACCAATTTAAAAATCTTGATTTGAAATTAAGGTCAGATGTTCAACTCTCTGTGTTGCCAAGCAACTAATCCTCTTATGTACAAAAAAAAAAAAAATCAAGACCCATATCATCAAGCTCACCTTCATATGTAATCGAATTTATGATTATTTATGTCGAGTTCAAATGGTTAATTAAACAAGTTTGGATTATAAATTACATGATGCAATAAGTTGAATAATACTAGAAAATTGATATACATGTCAATTAGCCATCAATTAGTGCATCAGTTTATAATGTACAATGTCTTATAATATATACAATGTCTTTTAAAACTAAGATAAAAGGAGTTGGATGGTACTCCAAGATGTACAATGTCTTATAATATATTAACAAATTCAATTTGTGATTAGTTTTGGTTATTATAATTATAATGCACGTAATATGAATGTATAATATTTTGAAATTGCTATATTCATAATTAGTTAGTCGTTGGTAGTTATACAAATAAATTACTTAATGTGACAAATTGTATAATATATACGAAAAAATTGATATTCCTGTCAGTTAACCGTTATAATCATAAGGTACGTAATATGAATAATATATGTGAAAGTTCATATATTTAGTTAGTTAATCGTTAGTTGTTAGACGTTGTTGGTTGTTACAAATTTAAACAATTTAATGTGACTAGTAGAATAATATAGAAATATTGATATACTTCTCAATTAGTTATTAGTTATTGGACTTTTCAATTATAAGGTATACATAATATGAAAAATATGTGGCAGTTAATGTACTACTTATTAGTTGATAGTCTCTATTTCATTCATTAGTATATAATAAACCATAAATAGCAAGTTGAATAAAACATGAAAGTTGATATATTTATCAATAAGCCATTACAATCATAAGGTTTGTAATATGGATTATTACAATGAAAGTTAATAAACTTATTACCTAAGTCATATCGTTGGCCTTATATATAATACAAAATGCTACAAGTTAAAATAACACATGGAAGTTGGTATACCTATCAATTAGCCTAGCAATTAGCTGTTGGTCATCACAATCCAAATTACATAATGCTGAGTTAAATGATGTGTAAGTTAGCATACTTGTTAGTGTTAATGGGTCGTTGGTTGTTCTAGTTTATAAACTAATTACAGATTCACAAAAAATTAAAAGAGCATGTACAATTTTTTCATATAACATTTCTAAAGAATTGTGATTAAACAACTAAATCATTTACCAATGAAAGTTTACCAATAAAAGTTTAGCAAAGTTAATACTTAATAATTTAAAATTCTTAATTTGAGATCAAGTTTAGATATTTAAACTTCTGTCAATCTTTTATTATATATTTATTTATTTATTTATTTAGGTTAAATACTAATTTTGGTCTCTCAACTTTATAGAGTTATACTTTTTTGGTCCCTCAATTATTTTTTGCACTTCTTTTATTCTTCAAATTTAAAAACTGCATAATTTTGATCACTCCGTCAATTTGGACAGTTTACTTTGTCCACATGACATATATTGTTTTTTTTATGACATGGATAATACAAGTAAAAAACAATGCTTATTTGGACTAAAACTTATGGCACGTTGTAAATAAACTCTACCCACTTCATTTAATAAATAATAAAAACTTCAAAATTACATAAATGCCCTTAACTTCATCGTCTTTCCTTGATTTCCTCTTTTCTCCCCTTTATTCCTTAACCCTAAACTTCGACAACTTCTCCCTCCCTCTCCTCGTCTCTAGTAGCTTCTCCTTCTCTTTTCCTTTTTCTAGTGTTGACTTCTCTTCCCTTCCCTTCCCATTCTTTGTTTGACTTTTTTTTCTAAAATCTAGGTTTGAGCAAGATTTGGGTTCGAGCAAGATCTACTTTCAAGCAAGATGAACAAAACCTTGTAGATCTAGGTTTAAGCAAGATCTAGGTTCGAGCAAGATGAAGAAAACCTCATAAATTTGGGTTCGAGCAAGCCGAACTTTTCCACAGATCTGGGTTTGATTAGAACCCAACAATGCTGGGATTAAACCCACTTACTGGGATCGAACTACGGTTTCTAGAGTGGAGTGCACATCTAGATTGGGATAACAAAATTCAATTCCTTATTCCTTTGAGGTGGTTGCAAAGTGGTGGTAGAGATTCGACTGAAATATGGGAGATCTTAAGCTAGATTAAGGGTATACATATGATTTTTCATTTTTTCAAAGGTTTGCATCAAATTTTTTTGAATGTTGAGCCATAATCGTTAGAAATGATAGTTAGATTGTCATTTTTAGTTGATTTGGGTTCTACCGACCTAACTGATGGGTTTAATTAGAACCCAATAATGGTTTCATTGAACCTAGTTGTAGGGTGTTATCGAACCTTGCTATTGGGTTTCATCTAACCTAACTGCTGGGTTTCATCAACCTTAGTTGTTGGGTTTCATAGAATCCAATAGATTTGAGTTTGATTGGATTTGAACGAAAAAGCTTTTATTGTATTTTGGAATTGAAACTCAGAGTCGCAAGAAAAGAAAATTGCCAAAGAAGATGAAGAGATTAGTCAATTGAACACAACACAAACTCACCATTCCAACCCAATCGATCTGGGTTCCATTGAACCCAACAACTAGGTTCGATGGAACCTAGCAAATCTAGGTTCAATGGAACCACCAAGCCAAAGGTAGGAAAGAGGAAGAAAGAAGGGGAAGAAGATGGATCGAGAAGGTGACAACTAATAATGTAATTTTGTTTGTTTTTATTTGTTTTATTAAAATATAAATATTCAACTGATTAGACATTTTTTAAGATATATAATTGCTACATCATCAAAAGAATTAAAAGAAAATACCATATGAAATTATTTAACAACCATGTCATGCTTAACTAATGGAGGGACCAAAATTATGCAATCTTTAGAGTTTAGGGATTAAAAAAGTGCAAAAAATAATTGAGGGACCAAAAAATGCAACTTTATAAAGTTGAGGGACCAAAATAAGCATTTAACCATTTATTTCTATATACAGACCATATCATTTCGTCTAAACATGCCCCCCAAAAAAGAAAAAGAAAAAGAGAGTTAAACCCCCAGGAAAATAAAAAGGCCATTGAAACTAACGCACATCTGAAGCCAATTTCATTTACAATGCCTCATTTATGAACCCAAGAGTGAGCAAAAAAGTAAACAACTTGTTTGATGCAACATAAATGAGAGGAATCAATAAGAAAAGGGGGAAAAAAAAAAACAAAAAAAAACAAAAACAAAAGAAAAAACGAAGTTATTTGGAATACACAACATCTTCACCTTGCAATGCACAACAAACACTTTCTACAAACTACCACTCACTCAAAACAATGATTCTGGAAGCCGATTTATCCTCACAGGAGAATTCGGTCCAAAATATAAACTCTACATTTCATTTTAAATTCCAAAACCATCAACCTGCTGGCTCTCCCGTGTCCTCTCTGAAACATCACCATCAGCTACATTGGATTTTTTCAACTTTGCGACAAGAACCCACATGTTAGCAAGCTCGTTTTCCAGATATGCTTCTCTTTGCTTAGACTCTTCGACCTTTCTCTGAAGCTCAGCTTCTCGTTGATCTTTACCTAGAAGAGCAGCTTCATATGAAAGTTCTCTCTCTCGACTCATAGCCAATTCTCTCTTGAGATCTGATTGCGATCCAGATTGTTCAGACCGTTTGCTTATACTTTCTCTCCTGCCATTTCGTACTGAACCTACTCTTCTTTGGGTGTGAGAGTTCTTTGCTGCTGCTAGCTCAGCGGTTAATCTCTCATTTTGATTCATAAGCTTAGCAACTTCCTCCGACAAGGCCTTGAGCTCAACAGCAGCGGCTGAGGCTAGGCCTTTGGCATATGAACCATCATCTGCCAGTTTCTGATTCTTCTGTTCTAGCTGCTCTTTTAACTGAGTTAGTTCAAAAACTTTCTGCTTCAAATCCTCAATCTCAGCAGCCTGATTGAGCAAAACGCAAAAATTTAGCTGCAATGTTTACTTACTTAAAAAATTAAATTAAATGAAAGTTAAAAAGCTAGCAACAGGTTAAGTGGTTAAAAGCCACTAACTTGTTAATACGCACTCAAGCAGCAGGTTAAGTGTTTAAAAGCACCTGTTCTTTTAGACGCAAATCTTCATTTGTGCCTTTTAGTACTGCTGCTACTTCATCCACATGGAGACCTTTTGTTCCAGAAAATCCTTGTGAATAACTGGCTGCAGGGCTCATATTTCTTAATTCTAGTGCATCAGAGAGCTGCTGCTTCAAGGAGGCAATTGTTTCCTGCAATCCTTCACATTCACAGATCTGGAAGAAAAACAAGAAAACTCTTCCACGTTAAAACTTTTAATTCATCTATGCACGGGCATGTAGAGACATAGCACATCATGCATAAAGTTGTCACATTGAACTGGTCTTTCTACCTTTTGGTTGAGCTGCTCTTGGATTATCCGGTTGTCTGCAGCTTTGACCTGAAAATAGGATTAATAATAACACAAGATCAGAGAAGCCATGAAAGACCACAACAAATGGCAGAGAAATAGTTGAACTGCACATTGATATATCTTTACAGATTCAAATAGTGGACATCAGAATTATGCAACCCAAATTCAGGGCAGTGTCGCATAGATGGGCTTGGGTCAAGGATATCCAACCAAAAATTAATTGGTGATAAATGGAGAATTGGAGTTGAATACAATGGCAATAAGCTACAAACTAAAGTTAATAAGATACTAGGAAGATGCATGGCTGAACAGATTGAAAAAGAGATATAATTAAATCTATAATTACAATAGGTCATGACTGCATCAGTTTCTTAAATAATACATTGTGTGTCCAATGAATGTTGTAGAAATTTATTTCTTAAAATGTCTACCATCCAAATTTGATACCACATGATACCAAATTTTCAAGAAAAGATAGTGATCACGTTTGTTATCAACTTTTCTTTGATCTCTTATACTGTTCTCTACATGATTCAATTATAGTGAATCACTAGAGTCCCTAATGTCTCAGAGAACATCAGTCAATAAGAAGTAAAATTCTAAATCAGGTAAAGTCTCATCATGTACAGTAAATTTTGTAAAGACTTGTATTGCTAGTTCTGGATATGCTTGACATGCAGAAGATTAATCACCTCAAGTTCGAAAGACTTCTCATTTAATTGCGCAACCAGTTCAGCAATGGACTGCAGCAAAAAACAGCAAGCATTATAGTGACGGAGTCACGGGCTTGAAGAATGAGACAAAAACTGCAGGCTATCGTGAAGTTTGAACTTACTTGTGATATTTCTGATTTGTCCATTTTGTTGTGAGAAGCCATGATGGAATCAGCAATTTGCTTTTCTAACAAAGAAATCTGTTCATTTTTGCCCCTGATTTCTTCACTCAACTTTTTCTTCTCAACCTTAAATAGAAAAGGACCACAGAGGTGAGTTTTCAAGGAATATCAAAAGAAACTAGCAACAAGGATGATAAGGAGACAATATATTACTTGGATTTGTTCACTCTTGGGGTTTCTTGCAGCCTCTTCAGACAATCGCTTTAAAGCACTTGAATGAAGTGCCACCTCCCCTGACAGAATCTTCTGCTGCTCCCTTAGTAGATCAATCTGATCAATTGTTTTTATGGTAGTCTGGAATAAACAGAGGAACAAACTTTAGTCCACTGGACTTTGCATCACAATGAAAAAACAAAGAAATGAAAGAGAGCAATTTGGACTATTAAATAAATCCTTTTCCCAACCCATTGGTTTCCAAGCAGAATGCACATATAAGGAATGCTGGACAATTTCAGGGTGTTATTGAATATTGATAATTAATGTTCTATTAGTTTAATATAAATACCAGAATGATGAACTATCGATATCATTCGTATTAAGTGATTAGAACAGACAAGAAAGTAAACCCTTCTACAAAGGACAGAAGGTTCAAGGTTATTTAAAAGGCAATCAAACCCTTCCATTCATCCTGTTGTGAGGACCAACCTCTGCAGAACTGATGCCCCCTTCAAAGGAACATATAAATCATTTTTCATTACCTTTCTGCTATAATATTTCATATTTGTCACATAAGAGAACGAAAATAGAGTCTGGGTTTTTGAGCAATTTTTTTCCCATCATTTGTACAATCTCATCCACTTCTATACAACTATCTGCAAGCCCAAGTTGTCATCCTTACCAAAGATGTAAAAAGGAACACACGGGTAGAGAAAAGGATCTTAAGAGCAAAGTGGAATTTTTTTGGCAAAAGGAATAAGAGCAATCACTGATTGCATAGAATCTTGATATAGATAGCATCAAGATTCTTTTGGGTTCATTTTCATATTTTTTAGCAACTCTCATTACCCAAAGATCTTATAACTTCTCATCCAATATCATCTTAGCATGAAGTTCAACAGAAAGCCTTCAACAAAAGTACTGCAAATTCTTGGGAAACTCTTAAAGGGAATATATAATTTGCATACCAAAGGTGTCTCTTGTCCAAGGTAATTGTCCTCTGGAACTTCTCCATCAAGCCTCACCCCAGATAAAATATCTGCAGATGGAGAACTTCCAGCAAGAAGTGATTGCGAAAATCTCGATTCTGCATGAAAATTATTGCTTCCAGCCTGAGGGGTGGAAGGTGTACTGTTAGATTTAACTCCACTTGATTTATCACTGGTACTTGTCAATGCTCCTGAGCCACTATCTCGTTTCTGAACAAGAAAGGTAAAAGTTTTATGAGTTTCAAACAAGGACATATAGACATTTGAAGAAAAAATTCATAAAACATAGAAACCAAACATATAAACAGTTTAATCGGATATTTTCCTCAAGTTCATTTTTAAGGAAATGAAAATGAAATTGGCACCAAGGTTTCTTAAGTTGCATAGATGGCTTATTTTTACTTACAATTTTATAGAGCTGAGTATATACATTTCTTAATTTGCATTGCAAAACATATAGCATCTAAAGCATCAGCTTTTTCCCATAGTACTTTGTAGGTGAACAAGTAATGCAAGTTGTTATGATAGCATTAAGAGCTATAGTTCATTGGAAGTACTTTCTGTTCTCATTTTTATCAAGATAATAATACTAGATTACTGCATTGATTTTTGCACACAAGCTCAACAAGAAATCAATAACTAATTAACTTTATGACACAACAAATTAGACCTAAAAAGCTGTTCTGAATTGAACATATTAAATCAATTTTATAAGGAAGTTATGCAACTCTTTAGATTAGTGGCTTAGTGATAATCACCTTCTAGTGAAAGTAAGAGGTTCTAAGTTTGAGTCACATGCCATGTTGGTGGGGTGGATTAAGGGATGGGAGAGCTTTACCTCCCATTGTGCAACCCAAGATCATATATATACATACATATATATATACATACATACATACATATATATATATATATATATATACGGGAGTTACACAACTGTTTAGATTTTCTTTTTTGGCCTCCCCGTCTTTTAGATTAACAATTCGACTAAGTTGTTAAAAGAGAAGATGAAGAAGATCAATTGCCAAAGGAAGATTCCATACTGTGATATGTATATTTGTTATTTTATCTAGACAAAACCCAGTACCATTTTTCCAATATACAAGAAGGAAATACCTGACAAAAAATTTTGAAAAATATTCAGAAGGTACGTACCCGTGGCTTTAACCAGTTTAGCAAGCCATGCTTTCGAGTCTTCTTCTCCCCTTTAAATGGATCATCCACAGTTTCAGAATTTGCTTCCAGAGAAACATACAAATCAATGTTCTCATCATCCAGGATGAAGTCCCGCCTCCTGTGTGGTAGGTATGCCAGCTGCAGATTTTGCATAGCTGAACATAATCAGATACAACCAAATCAAAAATAGTAAAAACTTAAGCAGTATATGAAGTCCAGCAATCACCTCTTCTTCCCCAAAAGAATGTCTCCTCCTTGGACCAGGACGCTGGGGAACTCTTGAGGACTGTGAAGCTTTGGTGGAGACCAGAATCAATTTTGTCAACCTTTGTATTCGGCTCAACAAAGCTGCTTTTGCTTCTTCCTCTTGTTCCAATCTTGACTGGAGCTCAGCTTGACCATCTTCTAACTTTGTACATCAAAAAAGAAATTATCAAAGTCAAATGTGTCATTTATCTCTTCCTTTTGTAACATTTGAGATAACACGTAGCAACAATTTGTTGAGCAATAATATTGCAATACTTTGGTTGCAAACTGATACTGATACCCAATGATTAAGATGAGATATGGTAAAGAAGGAAAATAATGTCACCCTACTTCCATCAATGCCATTCAGGCTTTCACTATTCAAAGTGAGATTTATGCCTTTGCCTTATTTAATAATTTAGTATTTCCAGAACTTCTTAAACAGTGATACGAAATAACAATCTTAAAAACTCGATACTCCAGCAACAGCAGAAACCTCAGACACTACCTTCTGTTTAAGAAGTACAATATGATCTCCTCCAGTATCTTTTAGTTGGGGAACTGTATCAATACCCCTCTTCAGCTGGTCTAACTCTTCCTTCAAGCAGCGTATCTCGTTTTGGTATTTCTTGATAAGGGATTTCTCGTCAATAATCTGCAGTTTAACAAAAGTTACTAACACTAATGCAGAAGACTGGCATTATTAAATTTTATGTAAGGAAACACATGTACAGTGCAGATACAAAAGCAGTATTGAAGACAAACAAAAATACATTCATTCATTATGTATGAAATATGTGTGCTTACCCTGTTCTGTGCTGCTTGGATTTCAATGTGCTTTGCACGGTGAGCAAATTTCAATGTATTATGTGTCTCTTCTGAGTTGCTTGATGAAGGAGTAACAGTGCAAATGAGCTGAAATTCCAGAGAGCAAAGAAATATGAACATAAACATAGGACCTATTAACGGGCAAGTAGCATTTAGATTTTTTTTTTTTTTTTGGTCTTCAGTAGCATTTAGATTAAAAAAAGAAATGAATATGCTGTTATGTTAACATATTCATATTATTCTATTGTTCACCATGATATGCAATCTGTATTACAAAAATGGTGTCCAAAGATTCTTACAGATACACGGCCATGGCCACTTAAAGAAGACTGCAGAAGCCTTGTTAGTTTAGAATCCCTGTATGGTATGTGAGAGGCCCTTCCATCTGTCAATTTTGATATTACCTAACAAAAACAAGTTATATCCAAAGTAAGTCTACATCATGCAAACAAATAGGAGCATCAAAACCTACTAAAGATGGAATAAAAGTAAAGCCAAAGAAAACCATAAAAATATGATTGACTAAAATTGAATATTTTGAAAACTAACTAAATTCTGTCCATATTTGGGAAAGAAATAAATACATCTGAGTGTGAAAGAACATGAAAATAAAAGATCTATAAAGTATAACTTCATTTTCAGATCTGGACTAATCAGTCACAGTGTCAAACTGATATGTTAACATCCTGTTATTGGTAAGTAGCATAGTATAACATGTGCTTCAAATTTTCAAGATAAACATGAGTCTCAGGAGCACCCATATTGGCATATGGTAATGCATATCAATCAACAGAATGTTGGCTCAACCAAGTAGGTTTTCCCATTGTCACCTGGCATACATGCTTTAGGTAACACCATAAAAAATTAAAACTACTTATGCATAATTCCATATATCAATCACAACCAAATTCCACCATTGTTTGACTAACAACAGTAAATAAGGCCTCACAGTTCCAAGTGTAAGCAAACTTTTGTTGATGTAGGATCCTTCTTTCCTCCTCATGCCAGTAGTTTCAGCCTTGGAGCTCTCTGAACCTGCCAGATCGATGAGGTTCTGCAGGTATAAGTAAAATATGAAGATGTTAAAAACGGAAATTACAATACATGTAAGCTCAACAACAAGCTCATTACTAAAGGAGAGAAATAAATAAGAGAAAAACAAGGTTTTATAAAAAACCTAAAAATATATGTACCCAAAAATATATATATTTTTTTAAATTAAAAAACCTAAGTATTCTGAGTTGACATGAAGAGTAAGCCTTAGAACATACCAGTTGGGATAAAGTTACTGCTTCCCCTTCACTATTTTCACCACATGGACTGCTTTCTATTGTCTGCAACAAGGTGATGAGAAGAAATAATCATTTGGAAGAATAAAAGCAAGGTCGGGGATATATCAAACCAAGCACAAAATCGTATAATCTATGGAACACATACCAAGTTAGAAAAGCACATGATTAACAAATCTGGCATCAATCAATACAATGAATAAACATTTCTAAGAGATAAAAATGAAAGAGGAACAGTTATTCAAAAACCACATAGGTATTAGTTATGGCATGTTATAACATCTAGAAAAAGACTTAAAAGTAACATTTTTCCACAAAAATTACAAATAAAGAGGAAAGAAAAGAGTATTTATGAATTCAAGTTATGGCAAGGCTACCAGTGTAAATATTGTGTGGCTCCGGCTGCTGAGTAAATTGAAATTTGTGGACCCAACATGTCTGTGTTCTGTCACCATAATGAAATTGATGGTAATGGAACATGAAAAGGATAGTCAGTAGGAAGGAATCAAAAGCACAACAATGCATGCACAAACATAGAGCAATAGGGCATAATACTCCTCCCAACACCCCAAGAGAACATACATGTATTTAGCAACCACTCTCTCTTTGAATATCACAAAATAATGCCAGCTTAATTTACCTTCTCCTGCTGCTATAAGAGAGAGGGCATGAGCAGGGGATAAAACAACCTCTTCCTTTATTCCTTCAACAAATGTTCCCTACAGCCAAAAACAAAGAAATAAATAAAATAATTCTAAACATGTAACAGCCCTACTCTAAAGTAATCGTCCATATCATCAGAGAAAAAGTTAAGCAGTGCTACTAAAAAAATTAGGTCAGACTTGACAGGCACCAGCTGATACATGCTTGAAACAGAAAACCAGCTTCTCAAAAATGCAGAATAAATATCAGATAAAATTTATACAGCAATCACTTAACAATTTCAGATCAATGCATCTAAAGCTCACAGCCTCTTGATAGAACAAAAGGCAGTCTATAAGTCACAGATGCACCAGTTTTCTTTGACTCACGGATGCATGCCATATTATTGTTTATTCATTTCAATATTTCATTTTCCGTCTTCTTGTTTATTTCTAATATATATGAGTCAAAGAGAAAACTCAGTAAGAGAATTGTAGAATCTACAGAGCAGTGGAATGGGGCAATGGCTGGTTGAATTGGTGTAATGGAAAATGCAAAGCCTGAGTGATATTTGAAGTTCATGGGAGCTCTTGAATTGCCTAAAATGCTCTCTGAACTAGCCAGTTATAACAATAGGGGACATTAGTTTCTTGAGCTATTCATACATAAATATGTTGCGTTGCTTATATGAGTTTTGGATAAAAATAAAATATTAATAAACTAGCCCCTTTGGTTGTTGTGGGGTACTTAATTTGGTACCACACCGATATGCAAAACTTGAATGTCTAATCAACAATTGACATAGCTCACAAAACGCTTTTGAAAATAAAGCATCACCTAAGCAAATTTAATAGAATAATAGAAAAGCAAAGGAAAATAGAAGACATGATTGCCACAGGCATAATGCCTATAAATTGCAAAACGATATATAGAGTAAAACCCATAATAAAAAACACCTGAGCATCCTCTCTAATTCTCAAATTTTGTCCTGCTGGATTCAACAAGTCATTAACAACCTGAAATAAAGAAAATCTTGAAGGATAGTAATGTCAAGTAAAAAGAGTAACCAAAAACTGCAGCTACTTTAACAAGGATTGTGCAAGCAGAAGGTGCCAAAGATGCTTATAACATATTAAGTAATGCAGTGGGGAAAATAAAAAAGAAGCTCACCTCATTATAGATTTCCAAGTATGAAACACGAAGAAGAAACTCCCTGTTTGGTGTCTAGCACATAAGTTAACTTTTAGGCCCATAGAACTCATAGAACAACATGCCCACACAGAAATATAGAAGTATCAGAAGTTAATATCCCATATAACTACCTCCTGTATGATACTAAAAGCATCCTTCACTGCCAAGGGAATAATTCCAGGGGACCTCTGATCACCCTGTCATATGAGTAATGCAAATCATTAAAATATTGGTCATAAACACATAGCTTTACTCCCATAATGTAACATGTTTATTCTATTCCATAGCATAATAAGTTTTATTTTAAAATGTAGCAGCAGACATTGCAGAGTTTCAATGTCCAGACCTGCTGCTTACATCACAAAAACCTTTTCTTCTAAAGATTTTATCTGCCCAAACTCCAAAGACAATGGGAAAAAAAAAAAAAAATCAAACAACAATAACTCCAGAACAATACCAGCAGACGTTCCTATGAACTTTCTAGTGGCATGGATAAAACTGAATATCAGATAGATGAATGAGACAAGCTCATAAATGACATCAACTTTTAAATATAACATTTTATCTCTAATATGTGCTATTATATATGAAATATTTTCCACAAAAAAAAAGAAAAAGAAAAAAAAGAAGAAGTCTAAAATGAATGTAGCATAAACATGCGTTTATCTAAAAGAAGCAGTCATTAAGTCTTACATGCATTGTGTGAGTCTTTCCACTGCTTGTCACTCCATATGCAAAAATTGTACCTGTGAAAGAAAAAAAACACAAGTTTTGAAGAGACACCATAAACTGGGGAAATGGCTAAGGTAAGTGAAAATAATTTGCTGTATTTAGTGAAGATGAGGCTTCATCTTGCTGAATTAAAAACCGTTTTAAAACCATGGTTTTGCCCATTGAAAAGCACTCACAGAATTCATAAAACCTAAGAATTAAAAACAAAGCTAAGCAGGGGGATCTTCATTTTTTACCATTGATGCCTTCCATAGCACCATTGATAACATGCTGAGCAGCCACATCATAGACATGGCGTGTTGTAGTTGTAGGGCCAAAGACCCGATCTGCATTACAAAAAAGGACAATTGACTGATTAGCAGAATGATAAACGTAAATGAACTTTATGATGATAATTACTTAACACAATGAAAAACAAAGGCAAGAAACAAATTTGATGGAAATTTTAGTATCACATATCAGCATAACATCTAACAGATTAAACAGCTGAGCATTTTTAAGATTTCTTTGACCATACATGCAGGAAAACTCAGGATCATCAGAGTTTTATGATCAAAATCACAAAATCAGTTAACAATACCTATGAAATACATCATAGTCGTCAAAATCAGAATACTAACCATATGCATACGCTATGGATGGATTATGCTCGCTCCTAACAATAGTCTCCCCATCCGCATACCAAGCAATCTCCTCGCCTTGACGGATTTCCCTCGGACTAGAGAATAAATTACAATTAAAGTTATCAATAAGCAACAAAAAAAATAAAATAACACTCACCAATAAACTACAAGCTGAGCTGAAATATACCTGAGTGGACGAAACCTAACAGTCACCGAGACATTTTCTTTGGACCTTTCAATATCCATAACCAAATTCTCTGAGTAAAACAATTGCGGCTTACTCCGAGCCGATGAAGATGCTGGCGAGCTCTGGCCATCCACAGATGTTTCCAGATACTGCTTGGATGATGATGTTGTGGACGATGAAGGAGAATTAGCAGCTTTTGAGCTGCTTGAGCCCAATCTTTTCGATTTCGATCCTAGTTTCGACGGCATTATGATTTTAAATCACCACTCCCACCCACTGGAAACAAAAATCAAACTCCAAAACATTATGACTATTTTAGAAATTAAAATCCTCATAATCTCTACTCACTCATCAAGAAAATTAACAAAATTTAGAAAGAAACCAAAAAATTGAGTTCCTATATTTGATATCCAAAAACTTAATTTTTTTAAAAAATAAATAAAAGGAGTGGACGAACTAAAATTTCATGTTTGGCTGCTGAGAAAATGCAGGAAAATCAAACTAAGTCATAACTCCCATCCAGTCAACTGAACTCAGCAATTCACTCAACACTCAACAACCAAAAAAAAAAAAGGAATTCCATCCACGATCATTAAAAAAAAAATTAAATTGAAAAAAAATTTCTTCGCCTTTTCTCCATTGCTTAAAAAATACGAAATCTAAAAAGATATCAGTTGACCTCAAGAGAATCGGAGAGGCATTGCAGACAGAATGGCGTTACATGCAATTCAGAGACAAGAGATCTTCTCGGACATCGGAGCGATGGAATCTGCAGATCTAAACAACAAGTAGAGGAAGACGAAGCAACCAATGCGTTGGTGTTATCATACAAATTGTACCGCCGGAAAAAGCAGCATCATCATCAGTAGTAGCAGAGCCGCCGAGGAAGGATGAATTGGAAACCTTTTTGTTTTTGTTTTTGTTTTCCGATTTAGTAGCTTTTCTTGCTTGCCTTGGAAGCGATGCCCTGCATCAAAAGGAAACGAAACAGCATTTTCATAATTTTTTTTTTTTTTAATCCTAACCTTTTGAGACAAAGAGAGAGAATGTGTAGTGTATTTTTCTGCGTAATTTCCTGGTTTTTACTTTTCTTCTTTTTCTTTTTCATTCCTCTCTTTTTCTTTCCTTTTCGCTGTCGGTATTATTTTTTCTTGGAGCTTTTACGTGGTGGAAAAACGTCTCTCAATCCTCATAATTGTTTATTGTCATCAATTGAGCCCTTACATTTTTTTTTTCTTTTGGCAAATTAATGAGATTAACTTTTTCTATTTGTAGAAATTTTACCCAAGTTGCGAAGGTCCTGTGTTAGACTAATGTTACAGATAAGTCGCTCTCAATTTTATCCTTAATGTGATAATGATTGTTTGGGACTAATCACCCCACCAATAAAAGCCAATTTCCAAATCACCCCACCAATGAAAGCAAATTCAATTTTGTCTTTAAAAAAGCTTTCTAGCATGAAACTAAAAGAAAACTCAAGATAAAACACAAAATTTCCAAAAAGATTTTTTAGCTTTCCTTGAAGCTAAAATTATAAATTTTTAACTCTTTAAAATTGAAAATATATTTTATAATTTAAACTGTATTAAATTGTAAAATACTAATCATTAGATTCAGAGAAAACTTTATAATATTAGGAGAAGACTCTTTATTCAATAGTTTTACACAATTTAAATTACGAAACACTAAACTCTTTTAAAATAGAGTTTTTTTACTATTAAAATTTCAAATTTAGTAAGGCTTATTCATTTTTAAAATTATAATTTAGTAATTTTACAAAAACTCAAGCAACTCAAACTGTAATTAACTTAGAAATTAAATCATGACTTGAAGTTTATTTAATTTTTTCAAGAACCATATATGACATTTGGGGAAAAGGCTTCACATGTACATCATGAGAAAAATTAAGAAGTTAAACTAGTTTGGTAACCAACTTATGACCAAAAAATACTATAATGGTTGAATTACCAACAATGAAGAAGTTTGAGTGCTCATTTAGGATTTTCCTCTTTCCATTTTGAGAAACGAGTGAGGGAGTTGAAATGTGGTTGGTTGCTAAGCCAATAACGCACGATCACAAGAGTTGCGTGAATGAACCGGAGAGTAAGTTGGGGACCACTGTTGTGCCTGTCCACGTGTCGAGATCTTGACGAATTTAGTTAGCTGCCAATTGTTGGATTCCACCTGTACAGTCCATTTGGACAAATTAAGACAAAAAAAAAATTACTCGCACCATGCACAGTGCTAATACAGTAATATTGAAAATAAAGGGGGATTCTATAACTAAGGCGTACTTTATTTTAAATTGTTAATTGAAAGTCAAAGTTGAATACCTTGTTAAAAACATAAAAATGTTATAATTATAATGTTAAATCCACCAGGCCCCTTAAGGCAAGTGGCATCTTGTAATATTGTAGTGCATTTTTTTTTCCTTGGCAAATTTGAGCTTGTCCTTGATAAATTATTCAAAAAAAAATAATTATAATATTAAATGTTATTATAAATTTATAATATAATGTATTATTATATATTTAATTTTTTTTATTTAAGTGTTCATTGATAGTATTATATATATATATATTTTTAATAACATGTTATTCTCATATAAAATTATAATTATAAATTTATAATTTTATTATATCATATTATAATTATAATATTACTATTAAAAAATAAAAAAAAAACTAACTAATTTTGGTTTTTTACTATTTTAAAATTTTATAAAATATTAATTAAAATTAATAAAAAATATAAAAAATAATTAAAATTTCTTTAAAATTTTAAATTAAAAAAAGTACATATCAATTTTGACTTTTAAAATAAATTAAAATCTCAACTTTAAATTATATCATTTTATTTAATTTAAAATTTAAAAATTCATCTTATTAAATATTGATATTAAATTTAAAAATTAATTATACATTCTAATATAATTAGTTTTTAAATTTAAATATTAATATTTAACATAGTAAATTTTTAAACTTTAAAATGAATTCCAATTTTTAACTATAAGTTAAAATATTTAATTTTTTTAATTTTAAAATTGATACACATTAAATTTTATAAATTTATATTTTAAAATAAAATGTAAAATATAAAAAGGTCTACTACGAAACAAAGCCACAATCTCACACGAGAGGAATATCATGCCATTCCCAAGACCCGGCACCTAGGACGACGGGTGCATCCATCACTTTGTACCAACTGAAAATCCAGCACACTTTACCATGGGCTCACTTCAACAACCTATTGGAGAGTTAAAAGATATTTTGATGATGCAAGGAAGCACACAAGCTGGCATTGATGCTTACATATGGGGTTGGTTGGCTCAGAGTGGTATATATGCTGCTCTCCAAATCACATGTGATATTGGGGTGGAACGAAATGGCCAACATAATTTTGTCTTGGGTGTCTATGGGGCTCCTAGGATCCACAAATGATGAAATGATTCTCTTCCCATTTCTTTGTTTTGTGGCTCAAAGGAACAATCCTTTTTTATTTGTCTCTTAATTTTATTCCAAAATAACTACATATAATTAAGCGAAGTGGGATGCTAACAAGAGTTGGTGATTCAATGATTGCTTCTGTTTTTCTTCTTTTTCTTTTTCGCTTTTTGCTAATGATTGGACAATGCCAAAAAATGAGAAGACTAGCAGAAAGTTGATGAAGGTAAGTAACCATGTGCACTAGACTAGTCTAATACTCTAATTGATGACTTAAGAAACCGTAAGGGTCACGTCTGCTGGGAAATAAATGTTATTTTATATGTAAATTTAAAGTTTAAGTCTTAAAATTAACACTTAAATAAATTAATTTCATGCATTAAATCAATGTATGAGAATACTTTTTTTAAAGATTGCATAAGGAAAAATTAGTTTCAAGACGTATAAAAATTGATTTAAAAACACTTTAACTATAAATATTAAAATGTTTTATTTAACCTATTTTAATAAATTTATAGTTTGGACTATCGCATTTTTATTACATAATTTAGACAAAAAAATATATTTTATTTATTATTAAATTTTGATAGTAAAGAATATTATCCAAGTTTTACTCTCTTTTTTTGTATTAAATTTCTCAGTATTTGAAAACATATTGAACTCTTATTAATTTAAAATCAAGTTGAAATGAATCCTATGAGAAAGACTCTTTTAATGTATATCTCTTCATTTACAAGAATTAAATTCAAAATTTTGTTTAAAAAGAACAAATTCTTTCAACTCAGACCAATATATTGTTAGTCTTAATTTTACTGTTTTATTTCAGTTCATGTAATTTTTCTCACTTATGAGATTACAATTTTAATCATACCAATTGAATTTCAACAATTAACCATAATTGCAATGATTTCAATGTTTGTGTTTTACTATTTAGACAGCAAAGAAGCATGGTTTGAGAAACCTCTCTCTACATTATTACATTTAGAGGCCTCTCATTTTTTATGGTTTAGATCCTATAATTGGATGCAAATTGCATAATAATTTTTTAACAATAAAATAAGATTTG